GATTGATTGATTGATTTATAATAAATAGTAATTGTATTTAAATTAAATCACAATATAAATTATGATTTTTAAAATCATTTTGTTATAAGCGTAACAAATTTTATTTTATTTTAGATTTTTGTTATAATTGCTTAACATTTTGTTTTGATTATTGTAAATCAAATTTTATTAGATTTTTTTCTTCTGAGTTTGACATTTATAATACTATACTACTGTATGATACTATAGACTACCATCATTACTATAAAATCACAATAATAATATAATACTGTATTGCTATTTAATGCAACAAGTACTAATACATTAATATTTATTATTATACATACTAATAGTTTGCATACTACTCTACTATATTCCTATTAAATACTATAAATTTTACTGTAATAAATACTATTAAATTATTATTTTATGCTATGAATATTATTATTATTATTTAGTAGTATATAAATAGTATAAATACTATTCTTTACTATAAATACTATTAGAAATACTATTAAACAGCTTTTTAATACTATAAATAACCTTTTCATAATTAAAACTATGCTATTATAACTTTATTTAATACAATAAATACCATTACTATACAACTATACCAAATAATCCATAAAAATATTAGGTTAGGTAGAAAGTTGCTTCATATTTTCCTGATAGATGACTTTAGATATAATTCTGTTAATATTAATCAGATTTAAGACAATAATTGTTTGTATTTAGAAAAAAAATTGTTCATTCAGTCAAAAATTACTGCTTTTTGAAAATGAATGAAAAGAAGAAAAATTAAGTTCCTTTTGAAATTTTATTATAAAAAAAAGAAAGAAGGCAACTCAGACTGGTAAAAAAATTAATGAAATTTGTGGACATGATGCATAATAGTTACATGTGACATAAGGCTGATTCAATCTGAAAATTTTTATATCAAATATGCATAAATCATGAGAAAAAATTGAACAAAACCGAAAGATGATTAATTATGATATCTAGAAAAAAAGAAAACTGTGTGTTTTGGCCACAAAACAATTATAAAGATACAAAAGTACAATATATGAAAAAAAGAAATTATGAAATTTTTGCATTTTTAAACAAAGAAAAAACATTTTCCCCAAGTGAGTTTATTTATCTGATTAGCAAAATAATGAATAACACAATTCTTATCGATTACATCAATATACATCTAACTAACAATTGTTCCACTTTTCATAACGAACTTGAAAAAAGAGGAAAAATGATAGAAAGAAGAGAAAAACATCGATTCTCGTTATCGTTGAGGGTAATGACGTCCCAGTATATTCTCCCTTCGTTATTTCAAGACGATCGTTCCTCACCCTACATGTACATATGTATATATGTATACGTATATGTGTATGGGTATTTATCTAGCAACAAAAGGGTCGTAACGATCGCATTTGAGAATCGATGTGTAGGAAAAAGGAACAATTTCCGCACTTCACTTGGTATTGTTTCTACGAGTTTGAATGTAAGTTTGGGTTGCTTTATGCCACTTTGAAATTGATTGGATTCGTCTTCGGTAAAAAGAATAGAGAGAGAAAAAAAATAACGTGAAAAACCCGATGATCAAAGAAATATAAAAGGATTGGTGGATGAGAAGAAGGATTTAGTGATATTTCCAAGGCAATAACCATTTAAAGAAGTTTATATATCGTACCGTATACTAAAACTGGGAACATTCGTGGAGGACGTTTGAAAATGAGAGAGAGAGAGAGGAAAAAAAGGAAAAAAAATAAATACAAAATTCAATTGGCGGTAGGTGAGGGTTTCTTCTCTTTTCGAAAGGTGAAAGAAAAAGCAAAGGTGGACGAATATTGGATGGTGGATCGATCGATTGTAAAAACAGAAGAACACCAAGATCGTCGAGGTGCTGCTGCACATTCCAAAGAGTTTAAAGTGGTATCACTGGTTTAATGCCGCATCCAACGGGAAAAGGGGATCGGGAGTTTGAAAGAAACTTGGAAATATTTGGAATTTAGCTTACTCCGTTTAAGGTTTCATAAGCTTTTTGTTTAAACACATTTTAACATTGTTAAAACGTCAATACTCTCATTATCATCTTAATCATGTACGATTTTGATATGTTAACATTTTTAATGTCATTTTTGTTTTATACATTTGTGCATGTCTTGTTCGTGGTAATCTTAGCAACATAAGCTTAAAAAAATCAACATTAATTATCACTAGATTTGATATTTCGTTTTTGGGATTACATAATTTGAAAAGGAATGCATAATAATTTGCGTTAAATAGATTTCTCTATTTGGTTTTTATCGTAACTCAATACTAAATTAATTTATCGAAAAAGAAATTAATATTTTGTATTAAATTATATTATATATTACAAGCACACAATTAAATAATATTACGAATATTTTTACTGAATTAATTAATATGATTAATAACAAAAAGTTAATGTGCAGGATCACTCGAGCATTGTTGTTAAAATTGCAAGTGCAAAATGAAAGATATTTTGTGATCGTTCAAAAATCGAAATAGGTCGAAGATGGATGTAGGTGTTGTAGGTTTAGTAAAGGAATTAAGAATTTGAGTGAGATGGTGTAACACGAAACCCCCTGGCGCCAGAACTCTCTAAGCCACCGTTCTAATAATATCCTATTGTGCTACCATTAGCTACCTAACACCCAAGCATGTTACTAAACACATTATAGAAGGAGGACAGGATATCTCACGTTTTTTTAATATTAATCCTCTTATTAATCTTAAATCAGTAATAGATGTATGTAAATATTTACAAACAAAAAAACCCTGAAATTTTCTATTAATTTCTTTTTGTTATCCTAATTTTTATATAAAATTCATTTCATATCTGTGTCATTCTTAAAATTGTTTTCTTTTAAAGTTAATATATACATTATACGAATTGTAAATATTAGTTATATTATATTAAATAACAATCAAGTAATGTGTACTAATTAATTAATATAATATACTGAATTAGTATATACTAAATTTATTAATATAGCGAGTTAGTTTATACTCAATTCAATTAGTAATAGAATATGCTAGATTAGTATAAATTATATTCATTGGTATACTAAATCAGTGTGTTTGGAATTAATTAATATAATATGCTTAATCATATTTTTAAACACAACGACATAATTTAACTAAAAAGAATCGAATATTACAATTTATTAACAAATATTGATAATAATTTTCCAAAAAAAAAACTATAGCTGATGATACAACTTAAAATTGAAACTTTGAGAAGGATTATCCATTCGCAAATTTACTTTATACACGTACTCATATTCTATCTTCGTCTTATCATCTTGTAATCGTTTTCTCGATTATTTTCCAACGAGCTCGTTAATACGTTATACCAAATTTGAAAAATGAACAGAAAAAAGAAGTAAAAAAAATGAGAAAGAGCATCAGACGATTCTTCTTCATTTTTTTACCCCCTTTCTATATTGTTCACGTTTCGCACACAATGGCAAAGCCACTTTTGTTCCTGGCTACTGTTAGAGAATTTTTTATTTTCTCTTCTTTTTTTTTTTGTCTTTTTTGTTTCATCATTTTTTCATTTCTTTCATATACGCGCGTATAAAATTTTTCCCTTTTTTTTTTTCTTTCATTTTTTTTCTCTCCCATATCATACGCGAATTCAAATTCCACAGGCGTTACTTCCGAGCTGGTAGCACGCGTACATTCATATCCCATTGATTGATGGTTCAGAACCGATTGATCGATCGACCGATCTGCATTTAACCGACTACGTAATATCATGGCTCGCGTGAACTCGACATTTAAGACGATACATCGATCATTCTTCAATTCCGAGAACGTCATATCCTCGTGGATTCGTAAGTAATATTTCATTCGAATGCTTCGTGAATCTGTTCCACGTATTATTCTCTCCCACTTATGAATTTACTATCAAATATATACTGGGTGTCAGTCTGGAAAAATATAACCGCGGACTATATTATTTTATCCCTTTTTTTTCTTTTGCAATTGAAAACGATATGATACAGAAACATTCTAAAAACCATGCGAATTTTTACAGAAATGATTCAGTGATGCAAATTTTATTATTTTACAGCTACTTCTATGAACTTGTGTTTCAAATTTGTAATATTTGACGATAAGATGTGAATGTTTGAACAAATCAAAATTGTTCTCTATAATTTTTTGTCTATTCGCAAATATAATTAAAATTATATACAATATCAATAACAATTTGGATACACCCCTAGTATAACATAACCTACAATTTATGATAGAAATAAAGAGATCGTCAAAAGGTTAAATATATTTTTTTTTTAAGCTCAAATATGGAACAATGTTACCAATAGCGTTAGAATATTAGATAACGAAGAAATATGAACGGGATTATTTCAAGTTAATCATAGAAATTATTAAACAACGTACGATGTAGTAAATATAAACGTCGAAGGATACCTTGTCGGAAATAACACTATTCCATTTTATTCCCAACGAATATTTTCTTTTTTCTTCTCTTCATTCTCTCATTTTTCTTTTCTTTCCTTTTTTTTTTTTTTCGATAGAATAATCAAGATAAGAGTGTCTGAAAAATTCAGCTCCCCTTCCGAGTATGATAGTGTACGCGATGACGGAGAGGAAAAAAAATAAAGAAACAAAATAAACCGAGTTAACCCTTCTTTGCATGATTTTTTCTTTTCTTTTAAAATAAATCAGGGTGATGTAATTAATGCTCTAGATTAAAGGAAAAATATTTAAAAAAATCCTAGTGCTATTTTTTGACAACTGCGTTTTGTTGTACGCAATAGTCGCTTAAAAAGTTGCCAGCAACAACAAATATACAGTACAAGGNTAAATATTATGATTGAAATTTCCATCATCATGCAAAGAAGGGTTAAAAGAGATAAACTAGAGTGGGGGTGGGGGGAAGAATCAATTGAAACGATTCTCTTCTTTCTTCTCGTTCTTCTTCTTCTACTTCTTCTTCTTTTTGATCATTTTGTTTTTATTCTTTTTTCTTGCAGGGAAATCCATACGGTCTGAAGGACGCTACGGGGATGGGGATGACGGCGGATATGGGTGCTGCATGGGGTACGGCTGCTCTTCAACCTGCTGCCACGGGTTACTACCCTTACGATCCAACCCTGGCTGCCTACGGGTAAGTTTATCACCAAGTTTCATGGTCTCTCGGCTCCATTAGATTAAACCACCACTTCGAATCTACTCTCCTCTTGTTTCTCTCTTTCTCTTTTAGTCTATGTCTTTCTCTTTCCATTCCCCTTTCGATACCATTCGCTTGCCGCCATTAAAACAAGAGTCACGATCTCTCATACTGTACCTACTATACCTACTTTGGTCTTGTGAACGCTTATCGTTATCGTGAATCCGTAATATCCTTTCAAACAATATACCTTTCCACGGTATATTATTCTTCAAATTAATTCCTACTACGGTTTTATTTCCTTAACATTTGTATAATTTTGTTTTCATGATTATTTTTATTTGATATATATCTTTTGGACATTTGTATTTATTTGTAACGTTTTGTTTTGGATCAATGAAATTGTTATTACTTTTCGTTTATAAATCAATTTCTTACGTATTTGACATTAGTATTATATAATTTGTACATATTTTTTAATTCGTTTTAATATGTCGTTGATATTTGTTGAATTAATAATGGGGAATATAGAAGGTTTTATAATCGCTAAAGTTTTTTTTAGGTTATTTCTGCGTTTTCTTTTGGTTTCGATTGTTTTTAGATGAAATAATGTAATTATATATGTTGATGACAAATTTATTATTGTATTCATAGTGTTTTATATTATCTGCATTAGTATAATCTCATCCGTTTTAATTTGTGAAATCATTAATGAGAAATAACAAGTTATATGATCTGATTGAAAAATGTCTATTGTTCGGTAAGTTTTGTTTAGGTTATACCACGAGATTGTTTTATGTTATCAACTTTTGTTTCTTTTAGATTTAGTTATGATTAGATTTATTTTATTTACACTAAAATTATCTGAAACTAAAACTATAATCAACACGATGAACGAAATATCTTTTACATAATAAATATTTATCTAACATGTTTCATAATTTCTTTTGTACATAAAAACAATACAAAAGAATTTATTGTCATAATTTTCACACACAAAATTATACATAACTCTTATTAATTAAATAAATGAATAAATCTAATATTAATTCAATTAGAAGATAGTAGAATTTTATTCGAAAAGAGAAAAAAACAATTCAGGTCTCATGCGTTGTTTCGTTTTTAGGTTATATTCGAATTAATTCGTGAATTATACAATTGTCTTATATTTTTTATATAAAATTTTACTCTCATACTATTAACGAATAACACGAAATATCTTTTACAAACGTGTTAGTGAAATAAGAAAAGATAAAAAAAAGAAAAATACAAATTGAAATAAATAATTAATCGAATGAGATAAAAATCGTAAAAAGTAGTTAATTCCGTGTAAAAGTTTATGGTTCGTGTAAAAGAAAGATAGGATTTTTATAAGAGTCAGAGATATTCTTTGCACCACACACGTGAGACACGTCGTCGAGATTCCGTAGAGTTAATCCGTGGAGAAAAATGTGATGCGCTGAAGAAAGCCTGTTCCTTCTTCTCACGGAGGAGAGTTACGAGGGTGCTGTCAATTCTAGAACCCTCGCACTTCATCTTGCAAGAAAGTGGGATTATCGATGGCGAGAAGAGGGCGTCGCTTGTTAGTGCGATACCCAAAGCTCCTGAAAGCTTCTTCTTTTTCTTTTTTTTCTTCTTCTTCTTTTTTCTTTTTTTCTACCTTACCTTATTCTCCTCATCTTCTTTTTCTTCGACAAACGATTCCTACGATTAACTAATTTCGATGTTTACTAGAAGCTCGCTCCAATTTCACACGTCATAATCCTTCAAAATACCTCAATAATATGTCAAACTCAACTTCCATAATACCCTAACCCTTAGAACTTTTAGAATATTAATAAGATTCTTCATAGTTTACGTGTTATCATATTTCCAACAATTTTATACATAAATTACTATAAACCAATTGTTTATAATACTAAATAGATTTACATAAATAATTTCGTAAACTAAAATACTACAAAATAATACGAACTGAATAATTTTATATTCTACTGAAATAATAAAAAAATTAATAAATAATCATACACTATACCATAACCTCAAATCACTTCCAAAACATTAAAACGAATATCCCGCCATCTTGACAATGAAATTAAATCAATTTCAATTTGAAAAATTGTATAAATAAATATTCCCTAAAGAAAAAAAAGAAAAGAAACACGTACACGACAATACAATGAAATGAATAAAAAAGCACAAAAGAGTTTGTATAAAGAAGTAAAAATTTGTTGACGCATAAGAAAAAACCCAAAGGAGATTTTCGTAACAAGATATCTACTCCGCTATAAAAATCTAAACAAGATCCCATATACCGAATGAAATAAAGTATGGTGACAGTGTGAACGAGTGTAAAGCGTAGAGAAATAAAAAAAGAAAAAAAAAAAAAGAAAGAAAAAAGGAAAGAAAGATAGAAGGAAATAAAGAAAGAGAGACAACTATTTTGGAAGCGCATGTGCCTAACGCCGTTGACAAAATGACGTGGGCTAAAAGATCATCCAGAGGGATCTTAATTGGAAACACTTGGTGTGTAAACGATCTGCCCTCGTTTCCACACTTCCGTACTTTCAAATTCCACAAGGAGGAGTTCTTACGACCTTCGAAAGACACGAACAAGAAGCAGAATAAAAAGAAAAAGAAAAGACACCATACTCAAAAGACAAAAATATTATTTATTATCCCCAGTATAACAACAAAAAAAAGAAGAAGAGAAATTCTATAATCATTCCAAGAATAGCCAATCGTATTTCACAATTCCACACCTTAAACGGAAGAAGATAGAAGATAATTGACATTTTCAAGGTAACACACCTTGTTCCTTTTTTTAAACCATTCTTCTTATACCTCGGAACTTTCGAAATCTGAGAAGGGAAATAGAATATAATGTGAACGTTTCATGAGAATAAGGATAGAATAAGGAACACGATAAAGTAAGTAAGCAAGAAATAAAGAAAAGAAAAGAAAAGAAAAGAAAAGAAAAGAAAAGAAAGTAAAAGAAGAAAGAATGAAAGAAAGAAAGAGAGGAGAAAACGTGCACGACGAAACGGCTACAAAATGGCTGTAGGCAGCCGAGTGGGCGTACATAATGGAGGCTTCCAGGTTGGGTATATGTTATACGGGCAGATCGCGAGCATAGGGAGAGCAGTAGGTCTCTCTCCGTAGGAGAGTAAGCGAGTGAGTTTATTGATTGGCTTCCTCCCAGGGTTGGCTCGCCCGTTCACCAGACTCTCTCTCTCTCTCTCACTCTCTCTCTCTTTCTATCTATCTATCTCTTTCTCCATCACACTCACTCAGTTACTCTCTCGTTCTATACTCCCTTTCTACTACTCCCACCCATCTTCCACCACCTCCTTCCACCTCCATCTCCTCCTCCTCCTCTTCCTCTTCCTTCTCTTCCACCACCTCTTCCTCCTTGCTGTCTCTCTGCTCACCCACCTTCATACCCTCTACTGTTACTACCAAGCAGCAGCAGCAGCTCCCACAGGTGCTTTACTTGCTTTGCTTAGCAACCCTCGTGTCCACACGAACGAACCCACACGTCTATAAATGTGCACTACCGGCTTTCCTACACTCGAGACACTACCACTACTACTATTATTACTACTACTACTACTATTCTTCCTCGTTCACCAGGTATCTATAACGTCTCCTGCTACGGGTCTAACAGGGTAGACGACTCTCTCTCTCTCTCTCTCTATCTTTCTTTCTATATCTTTCTCTCTCTTTCTCTACTTTAGAATATACCATTGGTAAAAGAGGGAGAGAGAGTAAGAGGGAAAAGGAACTTCTGGAGTAGGTATTGTTTATCGTACAATCCACCACCCCTCCTTTCTCTTTCTCTTTACTTGGAGAGGTCCGGAGCCTCTATTAATTTACTTGCGTAATAATACGACGACCCTTTCTCCTCATACTCCTCATCCTCATACCATTTCCTCAGTTACTACACTCCCTCGATACGGTCTACGGACTGACTGACGACTGCTCGTCACTTTAAAACGTCCTCGTCGTGATGTGGTCTATTGTTTTACTGTCGGTATTCAAAACCTTACGGATTTTTATAGAAAATCATCAAGTTGCCCCCGTGAACGAGACTTTACTCTTGATTATGAATTATTTTGCCGAATTTTTTTTTTTTGGGGGGGGGGGGGAGAGAAATGTTTCTTCGATTGTTTTATTTTTTTTTTCGTTTCAGATCAAACGATTCCTTCATTGTTATGTTTTTATTAGGTGTACAAATAAGTT